TTTTTGGCCTCCCTGGACCCCTTCAGTGTCAAGACTTCAGCCTCCTGGGAACTCTTTAAAATCCCCTTTTCAGATTCTTTGGATTTATCCAGTCTGAGCTCTTCATCCTCTGTTGAGTTCTCCAGTCTCACTTCATCGTCTCTGGACCTTTCAAGTCTCCCATCTTCAGCCTCCTCAGATTTCTCCAGTATCTCCTCTTCAATCTCCTTAGAGCTCTCCAGTCTCACCTCTTCAGATTCCTGGGAGCGCTCCAGTTTCTCCTCTTCCATTTCACTGGACCTATCAAGTCTCACTTCATCAGGCTCTCTGGATCAATCTGGTGACAGTTCTTCCATCTCCTTAGATCTCTCAAGTGTCACCACAGATTTCTCCAGTCCTACTACTTCACTCTCTCTAGACCTCTCCACTCATACGTCTTCGTCCTCCACGGATGTTTCCAGTCACACCTCCTCAGCTTCCTTAAACTTTTCCTGTACAATCCCTCCATCCTCACCAGGCATCTCAGAGAACAGCTCCTCAACCTCCTCAGAGTCACTAGACCTCACCGATTTTAACTATTTCCTGTTTCAGCGCTCCTCTGAATTGTCCTCATCCACCTCTCAGGATGTTTCCAATCTCATCTCTACACCCTTTCTGGATGTCTCCAATCTCACCTTTCAGGATGCTTCTTCCCTCACTTCCCCAGTTTCTATGGACATGTCTAATCTCACACCCTTAGTTCCCCCAGACCTATCCACGCTCACATTCCTGGATGTTGCTAATCGCAACGCTTCAGCTTCCCTTGATCTCTGCATCTAACCCCCCTAACACATCCCCTCTCCCTGCAACCTCTCTCTGTCCTTCTGAACCCTCCTCCTTTATGTGCTCTCTCCTAAGTTCTCTCTCTGAAAATTCCTATCTGAGGAAATTTAAGGGCTTTCCAAACATCTCCTGGCATCTGAACAGAACTGGGCATGGAAACAGGTCGTACAGATCTATATAACGGTGCCTTGTAACAGCTGCATAAACACCAATATATATTCTGGATTTTTTTTTGTAGAGGACAGTTTCTGTCCCTGATCTGATTTCCAGGCTGCCTCAGCATGGCTGGTACCCCTCCCAAATGTTAAACTTTTTCAATTCATGCCGAATTTTTATCTGTCAGGACCAACAAACAGTAAATAGAGCTGAATGTGCAAATAATTGCATATCTCCATTATGGATTTAAATCTGAGTTAATTTCACAGAATTGCAGGTGGAGGCATTTCACAGAGAGGCACAGAGAGAGAAGATAATTGTGGAGAAAAAAGCAGGTGAGAGACAGGAGGTAGGGAGAGGACTCAGAGAAGGTGTGGGGCGGGAATAGAGGGACACGGAGCTGGAAGAAAAATGTCCAACACTGCTATTTTGGCCTGGGGTGCCCATGAGGCTTGAAATAATCTTACTGCTAATTATTTTACCTATCAAATCATCAGATGTTGCCATTAAAGCAGCATTTATATGTAACATCCCCTTTATCAATATATGTAAGTACTGCAGTGACCTGTCTTGCATCCAGTGTGCTGCTTAGGTAGCAGAGAGTGGCTTCCCTTTGGTGCTGTCTTGTATCTTTTTGTTGTCACTGCTGTAGTTGGGGTTTAGAAATCAAATATCATAACACTGGCACCTTTCTGGGCTAAAAGGGCAGAAACATATTTGTCATAGCAAGTATTTTCTCACTGATTTAATTTTTGCAGGTTGGAAAACTTTGTTCCAATATGCCGTGTCTGTCTCAAAATTTAGATAATTATGACTCATACAAAAATAAAAAAGGAAATAAGAGCACTAAATAAAAATTATTTTCCGCCTCCTATGCTAGTTGTTTCTTTAAAATTAAGTACAAACACTTGTAAGACATGAATTTAAGAAATTAACTCCAAATTCAGCAGGAGCAGGTATGTTTAGCAGTTTATAAAAACCCAAAAATCACAGGTTATTGGTCCAGATCTTACTGTCCTGCAGAAAGACTGGAAGATATTTTGGTTGAAGAGTTGTTCTTTTTGTTCTGGTAACTCTGTCCTGGCCATGTGTGGTTTGTTTATTGCAATGGTTCTGGACTAAATGAGATCTCTTAATAAAGTTGAAAGTTATCCTGTGCTTTAAAAATGGTTTGTCTCTGGACTGAAGGAAGCAAGAGAAGAGGCATGCAAAAGTGCAAGGATTTATTAAAAACCCAATATATAATCTTCTTAAGTCCTTAATTATTTAAATGAACCTTAATTATTTAAATTTAGGTTAGGACCAAACTGATCCTTATCAAATGTCATTAGAGTCTTGTAATAACATTTTGCTTATTATATATGGAAAACTGTCTATTTTTCCATTGTGTCAACAGCTGACAATAGCTTCTAGTTTGCTATGTCATCTTTTACAGATTTGTTTAGAGCAAATGACTGGATACGATTTCAGCTGTTTGCAGAGTCTTACATCCAGAGGAACCCCACGGCAAGGCACCATGTCCAAAGGAGTAAAAAATCCTCCAAATTGAAGCCAGTCTGCCTAAAAAAAAAAAAAATTCAACATTGGCTCCACATGCCTGTAAATGGTTTTCTTTTAGCGTTTCATCTAGAAATGGCACAAAGGGACAATGACAACTGATTTAAACTGCACAAAACATCCCTTTAACCACTTGCTTGGATTCTTAGATTTCAACGGGACTGCTGAGCAACGAGTTAATGCGTAACTAACATAAGCGCTGGATAACTAGCCATTTGCCTCACAGAAGACTTGGGCTTTAATTTCTGTCCTTTAGTTAATTGACATGTGCTGTGTTTCTGGCGAATTACCGTCCCTGAACCACGGAACCCCACATATTCACTCCCGTGATTTTGGACAGCGAAGCCACACCTGGAGGCGAAGCCGAGACCTTCCCAAACCGGGATGGCCACACGCCTTTCCCAGGCAGCTTTACCGGGCTGAACTGTGAGACTGGAGGGCGACACCCCCACGGCCATACCCCATCCCCCTCAGGGCCGCGGGGCCGCCCGGCCCGAGGGGAAGGGGCGGGGCGCCCCGGGCGGAAAGGGCGGGATTCGAGAGCCGCGGATGGGCCCTCTGATTGGCCAATGGAGGGGCGCGGGGGCGGTCCCCTCGCGCTGATTGGCCGGCGGGCCCGTCCCGGCGGCGCGCGCTGACCTTGCCCAGAGGAGCCGCAGCCATGGTGGCGTATTGGCGACAGGCCGGGCTCAGGTACCGCTGTCGCGACAGCGCCGCGACGACGCCGCGGCTGTGGGGACGAGGGGCTGCCGGGGAGAGCTGTCAGCGCTGGGCAGGGAGGGCTGGCGCGGTCACAGCGGTGCCGCTGCGCGGGGAAAAGGGGGTTTGGGGCCAGGGGAAAGGCGGCTTTGGGGCCGGGGGGATGCGGGTTTGGGGCCGGGGGGAAGGTGGGCTCTGGTCTGACCCCGCTCTGTCCCCTTATCCCCAGTTACATCCGGTACTCGCAGATCTGCGCCCAGGTCGTGCGGGCCGCCATGAAGCCGCAGTACAAAGCGGAGGCGGAGAGGGCGGCGGTGGCCACGGTGAAAACGGTGAAGCCCAAAAAGGAGTGAAATGTGAGTGGGTGGGACGGGCCGGGTGCGTGGTTGGAGCTTTGTAGTGCGAGACAGTGATGGTCTGTCACTGCTGAGTGCATTAGTCCCCGCTGTTTGAGGAGAATCAGCTCCGACCTTCAGGCACGGAACTGAGGGGGTTGGGGCTGTCAGTGTCCTGATTACGTGTGGAGTGGCTTAATCGCATTAGTGCAGTGGAGTGAGGTGTCCTGTCCAGCAAGCCCTGCTTTTGGGGGTTTGGTCAGGCTTTTTATGGGCTCACACAGAGCAGCTGGGACTCTGTAGTGATGCCCGCAGGTTTCCATAGTGATGTGCACTGGTCTGTAGTGATGTTCAACTTTCATATTTCCTCAGCTCTCTGAACTGCTGTTTCCCCTGCTGGCTTGTAAGAGTTATCTGCTGTTGGTGAAAGACAGATGCTATTTGTATCTTTATTCATGGCATTGCATAAATCACAAGCAGCTGAAGTGTCTTCTGTTCTGAATAGAATAGCTTCTGTTCCTGATCTGAAATTAAATATCATTACCTTTTGTTTCAGGTGTACCTTATACATATTCTTGATTCAAATAACTCAAATAACTTTATATATACTCTCGTAGGAACTGATCTGTGGTGAATAACAGCAAACTGCAAAGCTGTAGGAAAGCTCAAGACTCTGCAGCCTGATGTCACATCAACTGTAAAACTTGCCTCTGTATGTAAATCAGTATGCTAATAAATGTAATGGCTGAATGTGTGCAAAGTGTTGTTCCTCTTGAAACAAAGTTCTCCATTTTGCAGAGACATTTACTTTTCGCTTATGTTAAAATAAAAGACTGTTTTTATCACAGTCTAGCATTCAGTAGCAACATCTTTTTATTCTTAAGGCAAATCTCTTGTTGGGTTTCATGCTGATATTTCAGGTATGTAAATGACTGAGGGATTTAATTGTTTAAAACTTTTCTGCCTGCTACATTTTAATTATTGGTTTTGGAAAAAAGTTTTCTTCCCTAAAATCTCTGTCAATGGAGAATATAGGGATATAATTTCAGTGATTAAAAGGACCTCTGATGGCTCTGTCTGATGGAAGAGGCACACTGTTGGCTTTAAGGGAGGGACATCCCAGTCCCAGTAGGGGTGGAGGGTGACACTCCACCTGCTCTTGGCTGTGGGGCAAAGTTATCCTTTCATCTGGTTTGGGGGAAGTGTTGGCATGTTCCTGCTGTGTGTCTTCACATTGTCCCACTGCAGAGGAGGAACTGCAGCTTAGAATGGAATTCAGGGTCATTCCCTTACACTGAGCTCAAACATGAAGCATTACTGTTCAGAGTACAATAAACTTTCACTTCCAAGAGTATAATAAAACAAGCTCCCACTTTTTCCTGTAATTCAAAGTTAGTCCTTGCAAGAATATTTTTTTTTTTAGTATCAAATGTTTCAAGTATAAAAAGTATCTTACAGAATGGTATATATTTTTTATTAAAAGAATATTCTAAATACAATGTTAAGTAGAAGGCTGTGGCAAGAAATTTTTTTTCCTGAAGTCAAAATATGGTTTTGATTTAGTGATTGCCCTGGAACTTACATCTAACAAGCTACAAACCATTCTATCCTTTTTGTTGTTCTGAATGTTAGGGAAAAATTTACAGTAGTTAGTACACAGGATTAAAAAAATACCACACCAAAACTTTTACACAGTGTCACAACTTTGTGTGCTAATGTAACTCAACGTATAGTTTAAAACAGAAATAAACCACACCATGATAATGAATACAAGCTCTGCAATAATATAAGCCAGCAATGTGAAAGAACTATTAAAAGAACTTTAAAAAAAAAAGAATGTACATATTCAGTCTTTTGCCCCATCTTGTTTCTTCTGCCCTCCCCCTGCAACTCAAGTTGCTGAACTTGTCTGCAGATCTACATCAGTCTGTGGAGTGACAATAAAACAGACACTGCCTTTCCAGACCTTACAGATATTCACGTGTTCCTAAAACAGTTACAAGTTCACAATCAAAACAGACACTGTGTTTACCTGAGAATAAATAAATGTGATGAGTTGACAGCGTATTTTGCTGTTGCTTATAATCCTGATATATATGTACACAGGCACAGTGGCTGTATAGTACATTCAGTATCTGGTGATTATATACTAGAAGTGAATACATTTACAAGACAGGCTGTTATGAGACAACTCATCTCCTTTTTGGGAGCGATCAGTGTCAACAGTTGTTTAGGAGAGTAAAGCAGAGCTGCCATCAATTTCAAAAGCACTGTGTTGTAAAATTGGAGCTGTTTGGCAGATGCAGAGAAAAGTTCTGAAGAAATGTCTAATTTTTGGCTACTGCTTTGTCTTTAGTGAATGTCAACAGGCTTATTCAGAGTGTTTTGACATTGTTTTTATGCTGCTTCCTTTTCTGGGCTCGCTTCCACTTCCACCTCTTCGAATTCCTCCACATCTGCAGTGGCATCCTGGTACTGCTGGTACTCAGACACGAGGTCATTGGTGTTGCCTTCTGCTTCAGAAAACTCCATTTCATCCATGCCTTCCCCAGTGTACCAATGGAGAAAAGCTTTCCTTCTGAACATGGCTGAGAACTGTTCGGAGACGCGGATGAAGAGCTCCTGGATGGCCGTGTTGTTGCCGATGAAGGTCGCTGCCATCTTCAGGCCTCGCGGGGGGATGTCACACACAGCCACCTTGACATTATTGGGGATCCACTCCACGAAGTAGGAGCTGTTCTTGGTCTGCACAGACAGCAACTGCTCATCCACCTCCCTGGTGGACATCCTGCCCCTGAAGATGCAGGCCACGGTCAGGTAGCGCCCGCGGCGAGGGTCGCACGCTGCCATCATGTTGCGCGCGTCGAACATCTGCTGCGTGAGCTCTGGCACGGTGAGGGCTCTGTACATCTGGCTCCCCCGGGCTGTCAGTGGGGCAAAGCCTGGCATGAAGAAGTGCAGGCGAGGGAAGGGCACCATGTTAACAGCCAGCTTCCGCAGGTCCGCGTTCAGCTGGCCGGGGAAGCGGAGCGAGGTGGTGACGCCGCTCATCGTTAGGGACACCAAGTGGTTGAGGTCACCGTAGGTGGGATTGGTGAGCTTTAAAGTTCTGAAGCATATGTCATATAGAGCTTCATTGTCAATGCAAAAGGTTTCATCTGTGTTCTCTATGAGCTGGTGGATGGAGAGGATGGCGTTGTACGGCTCCACGACCGTGTCGGATACTTTGGGTGAAGGCACAACACTGAAGGTGTTCATAATCCTGTCGGGGTATTCCTCCCTGATTTTGTTGATGAGAAGTGTGCCCATACCTGAACCTGTACCACCACCAAGAGAATGGATCAGCTGGAACCCCTGAAGGCAGTCACAGCTCTCACACTCGTTCCTGACCACATCCATGACGTTCTCAATCAGTTCAGCACCTTCTGTGTAATGGCCTTTGGCCCAGTTGTTTCCAGCACCTGAATTACCTGTAAACAGAATCACAGAAAGAACAGCCACAAAGTTAACAGGAGACTTTTCAAAGGCTACAACAAAAGGATATCAAAGCCCATTTTGGGCCAGTTGACTCCAGTTAGTTTGCTGGCAGCATGATGTACATACCATGAATAAAGTTGTCGGGTCGGAAGAGGGGGCCTATTTTGCTGGACCGTACACTGTCCATCGTACCAGGCTCCAGGTCCACCAGGATGGAACGGGGCACGAATTTATGGGCTGGAACAAAACAAAGTGAATGCAAATGATTGCTGTTAGAGGTCAAAGAGACAGCCTTGTGATCTGCTCTGAAAAGTCCAACCCACCTATAGTGGTTTAGGTTTTTTTGAGGGGTTTTTAATTAAAAATTGCTCTGCCAACACCTGACAGTGCTGAGCACTCACAGAAAGCCTCGTTGAAGTACACATTAATCCGCTCGAGCTGCAGGGGTGAATCCCCACGGTAGTTTCCAGCGATGTCAATCCCATGTTCATCACCAAGCACCTCCCAGAACTGGAAAAGGAATGATGTACAACACACTTAACAAAGCTTTATTTATTTTCAGCACACTCTCCTGCTGCTCTCGTGCTGCTCTCATTCCAAATGGGAACTATGCCTGAAGCAGGGGATGTTTTGCCATTTATTTATTAGATCAGAGCAGGGATCCTCCTCTCCTCCTCCCCAAATAAGTTCAAGAGAAAAGTTTAGTAGGCTGTGTATACTGCTTAGCTATCACCCATGCACTAATAGGTGGAGGCCCTCAATTTGTTCCCTTTATAGTAAAAAAAAAAAAAAACCCATAAAATAGTGTAAATAACAGAGGTAGTAGTTTGTATGAGCTTAATAAAAAAAGTCATGGAGGAGGTGGATAGTGGAGGGTTGCTTTGAGTCCTGTCATGCACAAGTGTGACTGTGGCATGGCAAAGCTGCACAGGCAAATTTTTACATGAGCAAGGCTTTCCACGAACAGCTGCTGGTCCTAAATGTCCTATCTTGACGCTCATATGTCTTGTGCTGGGGCTCTTATCTGGAGAGCAGCCACAGCAGTGTTCATGTAGACACACCCACCCACTGTAATGACCAGGCTACTTTAATATGAAAGGTCTGCTGGGTCAGCATCCAGTCTCATTTTGAGTGTCCAGATACATCATTTCCAACATGTGCATGGGGGGTGTGTTCTTTTCCACAGGTCTTAATAGACATAAGGGGTTTGCAGGTCAAAGCCAACAAAAAAAACACCTTTCACCTCTCACACTGGCTGCATTCAAACCAGCTGGGTCTAACATGACATTCCCTGGCCATCCACAGCTTCATGTTCCATTAAAAGAAATCAAGGTGAGATTTGTGGGAGCAAGAAATGGAGGAAGAACACAACAGAGCAATCCCTGATAATTTTTTTTACTACTTCCTACTCATAAATAAGGATGAACATCACAGAGCAGAAGCAATGGTGAATTTTTTTTTCTCCTAGCATAGAAAGTCAGTGATAGTGACTTCTCTCTGAGTAACAGCATTGGAGTGTTTGAACTACACAAAAATGCTCCAAATTACTTCTGCCTGTCACAGGAGGCCACTTTGTGTCACTCTCAGGAAAAACTAACTGGCCACTGATAGCACAGGTCATCCTGTTGATTAATAAGATCCCATATGATCTGTAAGGACCCTTCCAACCCAAAGCATTCTATGATATTAATAAATATAATGTGGCAGTTGCTGCTGCATGGCTGAGCTAAAGTACTGGAATCACAGCTTTGCAGCCCTTGAATTACTGGCTCCACCACTTGTCCCAGTATTTTGTAGACTAGATTAGTTCTCCTGGGAATATGAGTCCCAGAAGGAATGCTCTGGAGCACCTGTAATCACTGTGCCATGGTTATTGTAGATGAACATTAAGCTTTGCACGAGGAGCAAGCCCGTCTTTTGCCTTTCATACCAAAATACTCATCTTCCCTGCTAGCATGCCATTGAATTCCCAAAAGTCCCCATGGTTGGGGATGATGTTTGATGATGTTTGACCCATTACCACTGACTGAGGAGCAATACTGAAAAGAGACCTTACCTTGGCTCCAATTTGGTTCCCACATTGCCCAATCTGAAGATGCACAATTTCACGCATTTTGTGGAGCTCGGACCTGCTGGTGGCCACAACCTCTCACAGGTTCTCCAGTTGCAGTCCCCAGAACGAGCCCTCTTTCTGCTGCACTATCAGCTACACCCAGCACAGCCCATCCCAAGGGGCCTTTTTATATCAGAGGGACCGTCACTCAGCCAGAAGGGGAGTAGCCAACTCCTCAGGCTGCTCAGCATTTCACAAGGAGGCAAAATGCCTGTTTACTGCCTGGGGACAAAAAGCACAGGTGCTTTTCTGAGTGCCTTGGAAAGGAATATTGTAACATGCACCCCCTCACAATTAATTCCAGATCTCTGCAGCAGTGTGATGCATGCATTTATGTGCACATTCTATTTGTGTTTCATTATTTGATGTTATACACAATATATATACAAATATATGTGCATATATAGAGATTACAGCCAAAAATGAGTGATCTTAATTTATTAAGCACATGCGCTTCTGCCACATAATTTAAATTTTAGCATCATATGAGTCATACAGGACACCACCCATATTTAAACCAGTGTGAGCAGTAGCTTCCTATAACTACAACATTCAGCACATTGCCAGGCAAAATTGAGTTCACTAATAGTCATCATTCCCAGTGTCTGACTGCATGAAGGAAGGGCACAGGATCAGAACCAAAAAATACTTTGTAACACATAAATGTAAGACTGCACTCTCAGTGATGCTTGTTCCTTAAACAATTATGAGTATCCCCCAATTTCAGCCAAAATCTGAATTAACTTGTGACTAACTTGCATAGATGCTCTCTCTCTTAATTTTCTGTCATTAAGAAATACAGCATTTCTAATATTTCTTATTTTCTTATGTCTAAGATGTGCTTCAGAACTTGCCAGGAAAATGCTAGAGGTGAGCCCCCAGTTCCACTGAAGTTCACTGAACTATAATGTTCAAAAGGAAACAATGTGAGGGGGAGCAGAACACGACCCAGTCATGTTGCCTGCTGATAACCAGGACCAGTATCACTGAGCAGCAGAAACCCCAGAATGGACTGTCTGCTGGAACTTGGAGCAGTTTCTTTACATGTCAAATGACTGTCACTGCTTTGCAAGTGTTCCTTTTAAGGATGGCAAAAGGAACTATAATTAGGAAAACACCTCAAATTATTTTATATAAAATGGTGACAGTGGAAGGACTTGACTCATTGAAAGTTACTACTTTACCACTCTGTGGGTTGCTAGAGATAAGGAACCTCTGCGCTTCCATATTGTTTCAAAAGAAAAATCAGCTTATTCCAGACTTCCCCCCCACCCTATATGACTTCCACTTCTCCCACCAGCCAATGAAGGAACAGACAAGTGCTCCTAAGACAGTTTAGCACCTAAAGTGCATTGCAAAAGAGTAGCGAGCAAACATTTGTCATCCTCTGCCAAGCTATGAGTATCCACAGTAGAAAGCAACAAAAGCAGGACTCAGTTCAGGTAGATTAGTTTTGTTTCCTTAGAACACAATTATTTTATCATATTCCAGAAGATAAATATTCTCTAAGCCATTTAGTTTACTCAGCAAGATAACCAAACCATTCTGTTCTATCTCCACATTGTCAATATATCCCACAATGGCAGTGGGTGTCTTCTAAAATTTCCTAAGAAAATTCTCAAAAGGTTATTTGGACATTTACTTTGAAAGCAAATCTCATTTTATTCATGCACATATTTGTTTTCTCCAATGATCTTTAGCTAAAAGTAGTTGTGCAACTCTGAGCTGTGTATTCAGTTGCTGCATTCTGGATGGAAGCTGCCTCGATACCATGTGTCAGAGAGCTGCTGACACTAAATAAATACTACGGAATATATTCATCTACAATAGACACAGCTTATGGAGAGGCTGAAGATGCTAATTCACTGTCCAGAAAGTTTGGCAAAATAATTTCTGCAATAAATACACTGGCTGAATGCATATACAAGGAAAGGGGGAAAAAGGGAAGTGGAAGAAATTTGCAATCACTTGATATGGGTTTTTCTTTTGCTAGAAATAGCTCCCTGAAATCATGTGCCTCCTCTGAAGCACTTTCATATAGAGTCTAAAAAATTATGGCACACGACACCAAGTACCTGGGATGGTTTGTGAAGCGGATGTGGGTTTGGGGCTCTTTTGCCCCTTCTCCCCAACTGCTTTTCCGTGAACCTCCAAGCCTGGCTTTACCCAGATGTGGTCTGTGAGGAGCCTGTTTCTCTGTAGATCTTGTTGCAGGCCTGTCACTCCTCAGCCCTGGGTAACCCCAAGCCTGTTAACTCCCAATGCACTTCCCAGGCCCAGCCACCACACATGTGCCGCTGCAGATTAGCGGGGGAGCGTCCTCAGGGCCGGAGGGAACATGGATGGGCTGGCTCCAGGGACTGTTGGCACAGTGAAGATTAGGAGCAGCCTGGCACTGGGCACAGCCTGGCCCACAGTGTCTATTATCAGGCTGCCAACTGCTTCCATTGCCTTCGGAGCGGACCCCAGATACCACAGCCCTGGTCGTGGCCTTAAGCTGAGACCACAAACAAGCCAGGTTTTTGTGGTTGCTGGGCTTTTTTGTTGTTGTTTCTGATTTTTTTGATCGTTTTGTTGTTTCTTTTTTTTTTTTTTAAGGCTGCCTACTAGCAACAAAAATGCCTGTGCAGGGAGGCATTCTGGGATACCTTTTGTGTTTTAAATATGGTTTGCTTGGGAGGAACTGGCTTTTCAGAGCAACCAAGAAGATTGTTGAGAAGAAAGCCTGTTCAATTTGAGATAGGCCTGGCCACAGGACACCAGATAATTTTAAAGAGATCTGTGACTGGCTACCAGATGAGCTGATGCAAGTCTCAACTAACCTGGGCTGGGTGCATCAACCTTAGGAATGATACCAAAAAAACAACAGGAATAAAAAGCACTTCACATTTGCATTTCAATTAGTAAGTAAAACTATTTAACCTGCCTTGCTCTGGCAGGTGGTCCAAGGAAATAAGGCAGGATTGCCCACTGTAAGTCATCATCAGTGTAATGAGCCCGTGTGATTAAACAAATAGGTTTTGGTACAAGGACAGTGGAAGACTGAGCGGTTCATTACCTTCTTCTCACTGCAGATCTATGACCTGGCAAAAACGTGGGGCTTCAGGATGTGAATTCACCTGCTGCACAGTGCCTTTACCTGGGCACTACTGCCACAACCACTGTCACTGTTGAGTTTGGAGCACTTGGTGAGTTGCCAAATAAATTAACTGCCCAGCAGTCAGGCTCCATTCCTGCTCTGCTCCAGGCCTTTTACAAAAAGTGCTGAGAACTATGGAAGAAAAGCTACGAGGGGAGAACTGTCTGTGGTTTACTAAACCTGTTCACCAAACATGAAAGCTCCAGTTAATATATGGAAAAGAGACTGACAAGCAAACAAAAAAACCCAGCCTGCTCTCTGCAGTGTCACAGTTCCTGGTCACAGTCTGGCACAATGCTGAGGTGTTAGGCCAAAGGTAAAGGAACCTATAGGCCTGTCCCAGATAGGAGTCCTCTTGTCACAACCCCTGTGACCAAATTACTTCACTTTTGAGCGCGTGAGCTGGAGACTTCCCTGGGGGGGCAGAGAACGCGGGCTCTCGGATTTGTTCCTCATCCCTACAGATCGATCAGCCGCCCTTGGGAAGGGCTCAGGGAGGCTGCCCTGGGCATCCTGGAGCGCAGCTTTTCCCTGAGAGGGGGCCATACCCGCGGACTGAGGACCCCGGGGGAGGGTCCACGGCCCTCGCCCGCCGCAGGTGAGGGCGCCCGGCCCCGCCCCGGCCCCGCCCTGTCCTCCGGCCCCTCCCCTGAATCCCGGTGCCAGCGCGTGTCCCAGGAAGCTGCCGCTGACCCAGCATGGCCACGCGGGTCCAGCCGCTCCTGCCCGTCCTGCTGCTGCTCTGGGGGGGCTGCCTGTGCCCGCCCGCCCGCGCCGGGCTCTACTTCAGGGAGGGGCAGCACTGCTACAAACCAGCCCCGCGCAAGGCTCCCGGGCTCAGGTGAGCTTCGTTCCCCCGTTCCCCCCGGGGCTGGGGCAGCCCCCGTCCCCGCTGGGGCTGTCCCCCGGCCACCCCCTGGAGCTGGGGCTGCCCCCCGGCCACCCTCTGGAGCTGGGGCTGCCCCCCGTCCCCTCTGGAGCCGCCCCCATCCAGCCTCTCCTCGGAGAGCAGCCCTGGGGAAGGGCTGGCCGGGCGCAGCCGCAGCTCATGGAACCCCAGCACCACCCGGATCGGGGGGTCCCCGGCGGTGCGGGGGGTCCCGGGGCCGCTCTGTCCCCGCCGGGGTTGGCGGGGGGGGACACACGGGGACAGTGTCGGTCACGAGACCGCGGGGCAGGGCCCGGTCACGCTCCGCCCGCCGGGCACTCGTTACGAAACTCCGCGGAATCCGCGATTTTTTAAAAAAAAAAACGCAATCCCCTCACCTGGCTGGGGATGCCGGCGCTGTAGTTCCTCTTCCCTCCCCGCCGCAGGACGTACCCCCGCCCGCACGAGTACCTGGAGCTGTCGGCGCTGCCGCGGAGCTGGGACTGGAGGAACGTGGATGGAGTGAACTACGCGAGCACCACTCGGAACCAGCACATCCCGCAGTACTGCGGGTCCTGCTGGGCCCACGGCAGCACCAGCGCCCTGGCAGGTACGCCCTGCACCCCCTGCCCACCCGCCGGGCTGCCCGCGCCCCGGAATCCGTGGTTTTCGGAGGCCAGGGCAGCTTATCTTCTTCACGTTACCGGCAGCTGGTGTAAGGACGAGGTGCTAAGTCACTGCAGCAAAAAACGGGGCCGAGATGTCTGTGAATACACCGGGAACAGTGGGAATGCCCAGGCTGAAGGGAAGGAGGTTTGGTTTCTGTAGGGAAAGCAAGTGGAGCGAGGCTGTCCCCACCCTCTCCAAACGGTGCGAGGGGAGCACTGGCATGCTTAGAAACCTGTTTGCAGAAGGAATGTGTTCACAGCTCCTGCGGGTAAGAACGGGGGGTTCTACCCTCTCCTCCATGGCAGCAGCAGATGCACAAGCAGTTCTTGTGTCTCCCTCCCTTTTGTGGTACCTCAGCCTGTGCTGCAGCTGCAGAACAAGTGCTCCAGCCCTTCCTGGGAATGAGGAAACGAAAGAAGTTGCCTCTTGTGGGGAGGGCCCGAGGGGTATTTGTTTCAGGAGGCCTGTTATTCAAATGAACTATCACAGCACACAGACAATCTGGTTTCAGCAGCAATCTTCGTATCAAACTTCTGCTTAGGAAAAGGGAAGTAGTGGTTTGCTACAGGTGAAGTAAATTCTCTATAGAGAACACATGATTTACATGCTGCAGAAGTACTGTTTGCATAGGGAGGCTGTAAGAAGATGGACTGTGAAGGACAGATAGAGGAAACTGTGCAGAAAGGGGAAGACAGTGCAAGTGTGAGCAGACAGCAGGAATCATGAGGGATACATTCCTAAGAGGTACAAGAATTCAGATGTGTGATACCTGTCAGAATGTAGTGAAGTACTAGGATAGGTAAAATACAGCAACTTGTTAATTATATAACTTTGGTTAAAACTTAATATGTAGGTATGCCAACGTGTAGTTTTAAAAATCAGGGTATTTTTTTTCTTAATTTTTGTGAGTAGTTTAAAGCATTCATTCCTTTTTTTTTTTTTCTTCATTAAGACTAGTCTGGCATAATAGTTCCCAGTTCTGTCCAAGTATATTTGAATGTTGTTAGTACTAATAGGATTACAAGTACCAGGGTGGCACAGTTAAGACTGTTAATGCGGGGTGAGAAGCAGTTTATAAATACCCATCAGGAAGCTTTTCTGCCAAGTAAGCTGATTTCTGACAAAATAAGGCAGCAGGGTGGCAATGCCT